TTGCCCCTTTCTATTTGTTTGGCCCTAGCAAGTTACTGCTTCTCTGAATGTCAGTCAGTTTCTTCGCCTGTGCAATGGGAGCGATAATTGTATCATCACTGATGGTTTTCCTTAAGAATGAAACGATGACTATTGAACATGGAGGAGTCAGTAAATGATACACTGCCATCATTATCATCATCTCAGGTACCTTGCATTATGCACTGCATTCATGAGGCTAGGTGCACATCTGAATTCGGTACAAGTCTTAAGGGGTACAGGGCCTGGGTGTTTCTTGAAGGAACATGTGAATGTGTGTTGTATGCATGCCTCTGAAGCACAAGAATTTTATGCAAGAACTTTACAGAAAGCTGGATTTGTATGGTATCGCCAATGCCCACACATACACACAGAGCACACACCTTCCCTAGGGACTGCTTTGCTGAAATTCAGCCTAGATCAGGACCAGTGTACAGGTGAAGGGGTCCAGAACTGTGGCTACAGTTGTATTGAGATCTTGGACCTTCTCCAAAGCCTTCAGCTTCAGGCAAAGCTGGAATGGGAATAGCTGGCTAGGTCATGAGGGTGGGCTGAACTGTGTTTAATGAAATGGATATGAACATAATATAGTCAAAAAGAGAGGGTAGGAAATGATGGTGTGTGTGTGTGTGTGTGTGTGTGATCACAGGCATGCACAGGGTGGCACTGGGGGCTGGTTGCTGTCTCTGCTCTGGTACAGTCTGCTTGTCTCCATGGTGCCTGTTGCCACACACGCTTGCTTTTCAGAAAGTCACTGGGATTGTTTATTCCACCCCCGACCTGGGCGCCAGCCAAGGAGCAGCAGGCTCTTGTTTATCTTCTGGTACGTACGAGTGTGTATGGTTCCCCGGCAGCAGACCAACCCAAGACAGGCGCATGTACATGCTCACATGGGTGTGGGTGAGCATGTTGGTTGTCACAAGGTAAGCCAAAACCCCAAGCTTAATCATGCTCTCTCCACATGGGAGCAAAGATGATCCTCCAGGACTATGGATACATCATCAATCCAGCAACCCCCAGAGTCCTCCAGGAGAGTGAGAGGCATTTTCCCTTGGTTGGTCCCTGCTCCACCCCACCACCAGCATGAATCATCAGACAGTGATTGACCAGACCTAGATTACTACCTGCCCCTGGAGCTGGCAGTGGGGTCTGCCCCACCCCAGCAACAGTCTGGGCTGAGGAAGTGGTGCCCCAAGAAAAGTGGAGATGCTATACTCAGAACTTGCAGGAACAGTGCCATTCCCCACAGAGGATACATTATGTAAGGGATTTGTATATATATATATATATATATTTTCTCAGAGCTCTGAGAGCTTAGTGTTGTATATGGTGAAGGGAGCTTCAGAGAGACCTCAACCAAGGCCATATAGCTAGTAACTTGCAAAGCCAAGACCGAACCCACACAGACTGTCTCTCTGCCCATTTTGAGTTCTTTCTCTGCCTTAGCAAGTGTTTTGTTTTGTCGTCTGAAAGTTTTCATTTTAAAAATTGGTATTACCAACAAATCCCTTTGGAACAAGAGTGGTCAGAGAGCATACAGAGGACACACACAGGAAGAGACCCTGACTGTACTCACAGACCAGACACTGCCAGAGCTCTCCTCACATCCCCTTGGATATCTTGACCATTTCTGGGCCCATTAGCAGGATTTCAAACAGCAAGAATATGGATGTTTGTCAAAGAGATGCTCTCCAGCTGCTGGAACCCATTCCCCCTGATGTATTGTGGGCCAGAAGTGTCACACAACCCCTTGCAACACACCCCAGGGATGGCCATTGAGCAACATCTGCCAGGTGTTGGGATGTGTATACCCAAGGCCCCTTGCCCTTGGCCAGAAGAATTCTGAAGTGCACATCTGCCTCATTTTCTAAGACATCTCTGCAGAATTAAGCACTCACCCACTGTGGCAGTTGGCTTAATAATGAGCTCTCATTGGCTGCCTTCCCTCCCTGGGCCATCTTTCCACTCCCCTGCTGGTGTCCTTCCATCTCACAAATAAACCACGTGCCTTCTATTTCATCTCAGTTCTGTGAGCTACAGCAGGGATCTGGATCCCACCTTTTCTTCCACCATGAGCATCTGGGCCAAACCCTCATGCTTGTCTTCACTGGCATCTTCACTTTTCCTTCCGTCCTTGGACCCTCCTATCAGGATTTCAATGCCTTCAAGTCTCCCCTGTCTCAACCTTCCATCTGCCTGGTCAGATTGCCCTACCTCTTTTCCCTTCAGAGCCCAAACTTCTCAAGAAAGGAGTCTACTTGTCTACTCCTTACTCTCACGTACTCCCGAATCTGCCCCCCACTAAGTTGACCTTCCACTCCCACCACTTCACTGATGTTGTGCTTATTAAGTGTTATGGCTGTTTCCCCCAAAGCCTCATATGGTCATAGGTAGGGCCTTTCAGAGATGACTGGATCTACAGTGTGTGATACTAGGATTGTATGTGATGCTGGGATTAACTGTGTGATGCTGGGATCAAGGGTGTGTGATTACTAAATTAGTCCACTGGTTTATTTGGCATAGATCTGGGTATGGATAATGGTAAGGCCCACCCTGGATGTGAGTGCCACCACTCCTAAAGGCATGTAGCCTAGATAGAATATAAGGGACAGAAAGAGGGCTGCTGTAATGGATTGCTGCTTCTTCACTACTTTGCTGCTTTGCTGCCTTCTGCCTGCCATGAACTGTTTCTCCTCTGCAATCCCCCTCTGCCATGCCACCCTGTCCTGGAGCCAGCTGACAATTGCCTGAAACCTCTACAAACTGTGAGCTACAATAAACCTTTCCTCCTTTAACTTTGGATGTCAGGTATTTTGTCTCAGCAATAAGAAAGTAACCAAGACATCATGTTTCCAATTACCTTCTTTTCTTTTTTTTTTTTTTTTTTTTTGGTACCGGGGATCGAACTCGGGACCTTGCACTTGCAAGGCAGGCCCCGGAACCACTGAGCTAAATCCCCGGCCCTCCAATTACCTTCTTTTCAATCTAAGGAACACCTTTCAGGCCACATTTTGCCTTCCTGATATGGCTGATACTGCCTTCCTTCTGGAACATTCTCTCCCTTTGGTTCTGAATCATCACACTCTTTTGGGTTTTAGTGGCTTCTCAGTCCTCTGCTTCTCATTCTTCTTTGCAGCTTCCTTTTCCTGGCAAGTCCCTCAGTGCTGGTGCTCCTCAGGATGGCCTAGGGCCCTTATGTCTCCCTATTTTGTTTATACTCTCCCTCTGTGTGTCAACATCCCTCACACAACCTCCTTCATCAGCTCTCAGTTGGTGGAATTCCTAGTCTGTCTTCAGCTGTGACTCTTTCAGAACGCTGCACTTTTAAGTCTCAGTGTGGCCATCCCAGAAGCCCTTCCTACTCCCAGGGCTCATAAGGTGTATGTCTTCCATTCAACTGACTCCTCAAGGCAGGACCTCAGGGGCAGCAGAATCCTGTCTCCCTTTGTACCTACACCCATGCCTATTGGTTTTTACCCCTAAATAGGCACTGAGTCTTGCCTCTCCTCTCCATCCCAACAGACCTTCTTGTGGGTCAGTTGTTATCATCCTTCACCTGAACAACTGCCTGAGCCTCCTCGTATATTGCTGGATTTACCCTGAGCATTCTCCTACCCCAAGGTGAACGTTTTAGATCAAAGGTTGGTTCTTGCCATTTTCCATGTCTTGTGACCCTCCCTAAGCCTGAATTTCTTCACCTGTATCCTGGTGCCAATGGTATTATTTTTGAAGGGTGGAGTGGAATTGAAGTGAAAAATAAGGAATACAACTGACAAATTCTGGAGCTAAATGCCATTGTGGGCAGTGAATGAAACATTTTCAGGATCAGAGATAGAGAGCAGCCTTGGAGTGTTGTTGTCCGTGGTCCTGAACGATGGTCTGCCACTCTGGGTTTTTTCCTTTCTTTGGGATGTTGAAGGAAGACGGTGGTGATTCCACTGATTTTTCTTCACTTGCATCTAGATTTTTAAAAGATTGTAAGGTCACGGTGACTTATGGTTCACTGGATGAGGGAGAAGACTAAAAACAATAATTAAGCATGAGGCCTGCCGGACTTAAATTTCGAAAATTTGTAATCCCAGCTGCACTATCAACTAGCTGTGACTATTTTCTTATCAGAAAAAAGTGGGTGTGATACATTAATATTGCTCCTGAGTGATTGGAAATTGAAATTTTATGAAGCCTGCAAACAAAATCTTAGCACAGTGTCTGTGCCTAATAAAAGTTTTATTAACATTAGTTGTTGCCATTTTTAGTAAGTGGTTTCATAGTACAGGCGAGAATGGGTTTATCACCTTCCAGACAATTACAGTTATTTTCTCTCGGAAATCTAAGAAACAAAGGAGTACTTCTCCGCTATGAAATCTAGAGGGAGTGGACAGTGAGTTCTCCTGTCTTTGGCAATTGAGATTCAACTGGAAGCCCCTGAACACCTACTTCAGATGTTCAGGTGATTAATGTTAGTCCTATTTTACAGATAAGGAAACTGAGGCTGGAAGAGGTGACATGACTTGTTGGAGGGTATCTAGTAGGAGAAGGCTTGCATAGACTGGAGGGTGGGCGGGCACCCTGCTTGTGGAGCCCGGCAGAGGCGAATGGAAGGCGCTTCTCCCGCAGCACCACCGCTTGCGTCCCCGCCGAGCGCGGGAGCGTGGGCAGCGGCGAGACAAAGGGCCGGGGGCGGGGCGGGGGGGGGCAGAGAAGGCCGGAAGTGCAGCCGAGGGGGAGGCGGGAAATTTCCTCGCAGAGGGAGCTTGGAGATCACAGCGACCGGGGTCCCCTCGCAAGCGCCGCACGTTCTGGACAAGTGGCAGCATCCCTGAGCAGCAGCTCCCTCCTCGGTGGAAGGCGAGAGCGTCTGCGGGGCTATGCTGACTGAGATCCGAGACAGCGCGCCCGGCCCCCAGCAGGCACCGCCAATGGGCAGCCTCTCCGCCCCTCAGTCTCCTGGTCCGTGAAATGGGAACCCGTTCGAGAAGGGCGGGGAATCCAGGATCCCAGGGGCCACAGGCACGGGAGGGATGAGGGGCGGCCTGTGAGGGGCGCCCCTCCCTCCCTCGGCTCCTTGTGCCCGCCGGCACCGCCCCCTCCCGGTTCCGAGGGCGCGAGTCGGCCAGCGCGCATGCCCGGGGCGGGGCGCGGGGCGGGAGCGCGGAGCGGGCTCTGGGGACAGCGGCTCCGGGGACAGCGGCTCCGAGTCCGCGGGTCCGCCCGCCAGCCCGGCCCTAGGCAGCCGAGGCCGTTGGGGCAGCGGCAGGAGCCAGAGCGCAGCGCTCGACGAGCCGGAGCAGCTGCACCCCCAGGTAAGCCCCCGCCCTTACCTGCCGTTCCCTGCCGGCGGCGGCTTCTGCCCGCTCGGTTCCCTGGCGCCTGCTCCGCAGCCGCTGTCCAGGGTCCTCAAAGCCCCTCGGCGCGGCCCGAGGCAGGTGCCCAGGTGTGCGTGGGGCGCGCGTCTGGGTCGGCCGCGTCCGTTTCCAGGCTCCTCACTGGGGCAGGGCGGGGCGGGGGCGGGTCCCGCAGCCCGGGCCGAACCCCCTCGGGGCCCAGCGACCCAGGCCGCCCTGCATATAGGAATGGGGCCCTGAGTCCGTTCTCGCGGTGGCTGGATGCTTTGTTTCGCACGGCAGTGCGGGAGGGGGCGCTTCCCGCCACCGGGGGGAGGGGTCTGCCCGCGTTGATCCATCTCCTTCCTGGGGCGAGCTCGGCGCTCCAGAGGCTCTATTCGCACCACTGAGCACACTCGCCTTTGCACACCCAGTGTGCCACACACTCCGGGACGCAGTCACACACTCACCGCATTCACACACAGGCGCCTCATCCCTGGGCGAGGCCAACAGGTCTTACACACACACACACACACACACACACACACACACACGACATATGGCATGGCCCTTGGTCATTCCATCAGAGTCATAAGTAAGGCCACCTGTGTACCCACCCAGTACACCAAGTGGAAGACTTGCATACACACACAGGCACAGCTACGCACTCACACCAGCCATTGTAGATCACAGCATATTAACAATGGTTCCTGAGCAAACACTCTCAAGGCCACTTTTGCAGCCTTCTCTGACCTGCTTGTACCTGTTCACACTGCTCATGGTGTTCCTCATGTGTCCCTAGACCCTGGTATAGGCTATCACACTTGTGAATACACTCCTTATCACAGACACACGCATGCTGTCTCTCAGCTTGTTGCTCACCCCCACCCACACTAGCCCAAGTTTACACATCCATTCTTCTCCTCCTGTGGATGGATGGACAGATGAACAGATGGGCAGTAGTCTAGGGTAGTGGTGGTGAACCTATGGCATGCATGCCACAGTGGGCTGTTTGTATCATTGAAAGCTCTAAAGGTTCGCCATCACTGATCTAGGGGCTTTTCTGGAAGGTCTGTCACTCTTTGCTACACTGCTTCTCTCCCTACAGCCCCAGGCAGGACACTTTGCTCCTTTGAAGGCCCTAGCAGAGGAGGGGACAAGAGGAAGCAGACTGGGATTTACACACACACTCACAGGCACACATGCCTGCCAAAACCTCACCAGCCTTTATCCCTCCTGTTACCATGGGAGGAGATGCTTGCAGGTGCTTGAAAGCCCTGGCCCTGGATTGAGGGTGTAGGGATGGCTCCAAACTCACACTAGGAAGAAATCCTAGAGAGAAAGAAACAGGCTAGCCAGGTCTCTATGCATTCACAGTGCTCCTCTGCTTGCAAATGGGACACACGTGCCTGCATACTCACCCAGGCTACCACTCCCATGAGTGGGACTGGAAGGCTATGTGGTCACACATGTGCACACTCACAGAGTCCAGGTGACTCCCTGGAGATGCAAACACTCACATGAGCCATTCTGCACATAGAGGAGACATATATATATCAAGGTTTTCCTGGCCTAAGGTGGTGCAGACTTCCACGAGTCATCTGCTCACTTCCTTGCACACCAGGTGAACCACCTGGTATACTTAGGGTTATTTCAATCTTCTCCTTCAGTTAGGTCACACGCACCTGTGTGCAGGCTCATCTGTTCATAGGATGTGTGTTCCCGGAGGTGGGTGTATGTATGTAGGGACACTTGCTTCCTCTACTGAGTGCTCCCTGGCACTGTTGCCTCTGAGGTCCATGGGATTCAGAGGAGCCTTGGCCTGACCTCAAAGAACAGAAAGGGATTTAAGAGCCAAGTGTTAATATCCAAGATCTTGGCAGACATCATGGTAAGAAACCAGACCAAAAAAAAAAAGAAAGAAAAAAAAGAAACCAGACTTCGAGCTCAGACACAGCTGACTTTGAACTATAGCCCCTCCTCCCCCCAGCTATGTGTCTTTGGTCAAGTCTTTTCTCCTGACTTCAGTGTCCTCATCTGTGGAATGGGATGATAATGCTCCCCTCGTGAGATTATTGCTAGTCCAGATGACAAAATGAGCCTGAGAGTGCTGGGCCCGGAGCTGAGCACACAGAGAGAAAGGGTGGAAAGAGAGGAGGTGAAACCATAGGCCCAGGCTGTATCTTAGAGTAGTGGGTAGAAGGTACTGAGGTTTCATTTAGAGCCAGAAAGGAGCTGGCGGAACTGAGGAGCAGCACCTCTGGCATTGTTCTTTAGGCAGATAACTTTCATTTAACAGATTGGGAAACAGGTCTAGGAAGTAGGAAAAAATTACCCAAAGTCACAAAGCAAATAGATAACTAAGCTGGGATTTAACCCCACATCTTTGTGCTTCCTGGATCAGGCTCTCTGTCCTTACCCTGGACCTGATCCCCTCTCAGAGGCTGAGAACTTCAAGCTGGGAATTTGGAAGCTAGCCTCTTCCAGGGAGGTTTGCAAAGAGGGAACATGACCAGCTGGGCCAGGCCTGCCTCTCAGAACCTTGGCTTCCTCCTCTGGAAAACAGGAATATAGCACATGCCCGGCAGATGTACAATGTCTGTGCAAGGACACCTCCTGACTTTCTTGGCATCTAGGTCAAAGGTCAAAACTTCAGTGGCCATAGGCCAGGAGAGTAACATACATTAGGGGCTAGCTATAAGAAAAGTGATTGTGCAAATGTAGTGATTTCTTGTTCATGTTCTTGTTGTTGTTGCTCTTTCTCATCTTCTTCTTCTTCTTCTTCTTCTTCTTCTTCTTCTTCTTCTTCTTCTTCTTCTTCTTCTTCTTCTTATTCTTCTTCTTCTTCTTCTTCAAGACAGGCTCTCACTTTGTAGTTTAGGCTGACTTTGAACTCACTATGTAGCACAGGCTGACTTTGAACTCACGGCAGTCCTCCTGCCTCAGCCTCCTGAATGCTGGAATCGCAGATGTGTGCTACCATACCTGGCTGCAAATGCAGTGACTGATGGCAATAGTAAGCCTCAGGACTACCCATAGGAAGGAGTGGGGATTGTGGCTAATTGAAGAGCCTGTGCCCAACTAAGAAGCCCTTCAAGACTCCGGCTGACTGTTGCTATGCAGAAGCATGCTCACATTGCCAAATTTTAGTTTCCCAGGAGAATCTGGAAATCTGATTCTCACACAAAATCTTCTCATTTTTAAGTATTGATCAGTACATGCCTTTATTTTAAGTTGACTAAAAATTCTAGCACTCTGGGTCACACAGGCATATCTGAAGGCCAGATTGTGCTAGTTCGAGTGTCTGCTGCAGGCCCTCTCCCCCTGCCCCCTCCTGGGAGCACAGCTGGGCTCTGACAGGCTGAGTAGATAAACATAGGCCTTCCATGTACACAGCCCAGCCCTACAGTGAGCAGAGCCTGCACACTCCTTTAATTCTTACAGCAGCCCGGGGGAGCACAGGTGGGCTCTTCAGGGTCCCCAGTGAGGGGCACAGCCTTGCTTGGGGCCATAGAGCTGTAAGTGGTGACCTGCCTGGAGTTTGTGTGGGGCTCCCTCACAAGGGCCAATCTCAGAGGTTGGGCTGGTGTGTAGGGATCTCAGAGCTGGGCCACCAGGGCTGAAATGAGAGGTAGTGAGCACCAAGAGCACCTCTCCTACAGCCTTTTCTGACTCCTTCCCGCTGCAGCTTAAATTCCCTATCCTATCAGATTCCTACTTTCCAGAGAAGGAAAGCAAGGCTGGCATGGCAAGCAGATCTTGGCCCTTACCAGAACCTGGGCCCCTTCTCTTGCCCATCTGCCCAGTCGCTCTGGCTTATAACAGGCTTTTCCACAGACCCTGTCACGGGATAGGTCACAGGTCACAAGGCAGTGGCCTCGGGGTCAAAGTTGGCCTACAGGAGTGTTTTGTTTGGTCTTTGTGTCATTTTAAAAATGAGCCAACTGTAATCACAGCACTCTGGAAGGTTAGGGCAGGAGGATCACAAATTCAAGCCCAGATTTCATAACCAAGCAACTTAGTGAGACCCTGTCTCAAAATAAATCTTTAAAAAGCAAGGAGACTGGGCTGGGGATTTAGCTTGGTGGTTACGGCACCTGCCTTGCAAGCGCAAGGTCCCGAGTTTGATCCCCGGTACAAAAAAAAAAAAAGCAAGGAGACTGATGACATAGATCATTATGAAGGCCCTAGGCCTTCTCTCTCATACCACACATACATGCATGCACACACACGTTAATATTATAAAATATTAAAAATCCAGATTTATGAGTTTGCTCAGTGAATCATGATACCTGGCCAAGTAAAAGCCATTCACTCCCCCACTCAAAACACTCCAGGGGTTTCCCAGCCCCCTTAGGATAGATAAGCTCCCATCTCCCTAAGCCCTGCACAGCTCGCTACTGCCTATTTTTCTCCCTTCCTCCCTCTTCGACTTCCAGCTCAGCTCCAGCCACTCTGGCCTTTTCATGGTTGGCTCATGTGCTAACCTCCTTGGAGAAGTCTTTCTTGATCACATAACCAAACCAGCTGCCAACTCCTTTGTCTTCACAGCACCCAGTATTTGAAATTATATCATTCATTTGCTCCTTGTTTTTACACTCTTTCTAATATTTCTGCACATGGAGGATAGGGGCCGTACACGCCTTACTTTTGTATCCCCAAAACCATGAACAGTGCCTAGAACATTGCATATGTGCCTAATAAATGTTGAGTGAATGGGATGAATTCCTATGTGGCCACAACTGGCAGGAATTGTGTGCATTTACCCCTTTAGAAGGGATGAATCCTCTCCAGTTTGCCATAGTCCCCACCACTCCCTCTCATCTCCCTCATTCGGAGGATGTCAGAAGTCTTTAATCACCTCCCTTGCTCTATTGTTTTTCTTATGGGAGAAAATGTTTATTTCTTTTCATGTCATTATTACAAGCAAAGACCATCTATACCACTCTAATCTGATGCCTTTCTCACTCCTGCACACTGATAACTTTCCAACGCCTCCTTTTAATGCAGATGAAAATCAGATCCAAAGAATTCCAGCCAAAATATCTCTTGTGCTTCAGACCTATCTTCCACCTGATTCCCACATGCCCCCCAATAAATCCCACAGACACCCCAGTTGAACTCCTCATACACACAAAAACAGTACTCCACCCATCCTCTCAACACTGTCTGGGCTCCTGTATCCCCATCTTTGTGATGATTCTTATCCCTCTGCCCAGGTCTCAACCTCAAAGCATGGGGAATCCAGCAGTAAAGAGTATTAATGGAACTCCTACTCAGGAACTTAAGGTCAAGTTGGGGACCCAGAAATGTAAATGGGTCATGCAGAGTGACATGATTCTGATTAGGCAAAGAACAAGAGGCCATGGGAACACAGAGGAAGCTGGTAGGCAAAGAAGACTCACTAGAAGAGGAAGCATTCACATGGAGACCTGAAGGTTTAACAAGCAGTAGCCAGACAAGGAGGGGGGAAAGACTACCCCAGCAGAGGCTGAAATGGCTGTCAGGTTCATGGACAAACCCACGGAGGGGTGTTCATGGTGTGTGTGTGTGTATACATGCTTTGAGGGTAGGAGTAGGTAGGTAATGAAAGATAAATCCCACCAGGCAAACAGGTGGGTAGGGCTTTAGAAGTACATTAAAGAGGGCGGGGGATTTAGCTCAGTGGTTTCACCACCTGCTGTGCAAGCGTGTTCGATCCCCGGTACAAAAAAAAAAAAAATTAAGAAGTACATTAAAGAGATGGAGCCGGGGATTTAGCTCAGTGGTTCCGGCGCCTGCCTCGAAAGCACAAGGTCCCGAGTTCGGTCCCCGGTACCAGAAACAAAAAGAGATGGACTAAAGGTGATAGGGAGTCATTAAAAGTTTCTATTTTTTTCTGTTTTTTTAAAAAAGTACAGTTGTGTACCACATAATGACACTTTGGTCACTGATAGATTGGTATACACAATGGTGGTCCCATAAGAGTATATGGGGCCAGGGATTTAGCTCAGTGGTGCTGCCTCATACCTCACAAGCACAAGGTCCTGAGTTGATCCCCAATACCAAAAAAAAAAAAAAGAATATAATGAAGCCTTTGTAATATCTTAGCACAACATATTACATGTTTGTGGTGATGCTTGTATAAATAAATGTATTGTGTTGTGGTTGTATAAAACTATATCACATAGTTACACACAGTACATAATACTTGATTATGGTAATACTGTAACAATGTTACTAGTTTATATATATAGTATATTGTACTTTTTATTATTATTTTGAAGCATATTCCTACCTATTAGAAAATAAAGTTAGGCAGGCATGGTGATACACGCCTGGGAGGCTGGGGCAGGAGGATTGCAAGTTCAGGGTCAGCCTGGTCAATTTAGCAACTTAGTGAGATCTAGTCTCAAAATTTGTAAAACTTAATTACACTTAAAAAGGAATGGGGGGCTGGAGTATGGCTCAGCGTCAGAGCATTTACCTAGCATGTGCAAGGTCGTGGGTTTAATCCCCAGCATAGAACCCAAAAAAGGGATGGGACTGTAGCTCAGTACAGATGCCCAGGGCTCAATCCTGAGTACCACAAAACATAAATAATAAAAATAAAGTTTACTGCAAGACAGTATGCTGTGCTACCCAAGCAGCAGGCTCATCCATCTTTTGTTTAGCACATATCTTGATTGCATCCAACGACTACACTGAGTTATTGGTCCAGACTAAGTCCATTCTATGACTTTCCTACAATGGCAAAACTGCCAACAAGACATTCCTCAGAACATACCCCAGTCATTAAGTAAGGCATGATTATACTTTGTGCATGCATAACCCACACTTTGACATCTCAAAGGGGCATACAAAAAAAAAGTCTCTCCCACCCTCAGATCCCTTGTCTTACTTCCAAGACACAATCGCCACTCAAAGTTTTGTGGGATTCCATCTGGAAATTTTCTCCTTATAAATAAACCCATACATATGTGTCTGATCTTCTCCTTGGCTACTTGCACAGGAACCTAGAACCTATGCTGAACCCTACATGTCTTTTTTCATTCAGCTTATCTTGAGCATCTTCCCTTATCACTCCACATGTTTTAGCAGCTATGTGCTGTTCCAGGTGATTGTCCCACATGTCACAGGCCCTGCTCCCTGGTTTTCTTCGCAGTACCAGCCATGCATTTGTGCTCCCTGATGCACTATCACTCTGTCTTCAGGACCATCCCTAGAAGTGAACTTGCTGCCTCACATGCTATGTGCATTATAAACTTTGATAGAAAATCATAAATGTCCTTCCAAAAAATTACAACCAACTTAATTTCCTAACATGTGTGAGGAGAGTTTTGATCCAGGAGAAGTGTGGTTAGATCTACACCTAAGATTATTCAGTCATTCATGTAATGAATATTTTTTTGGAGCTTATTTACTGTGTCATTATTCTTGACTCTGGAGAACATATCAATGAGCACAAGAATGTCTTCACCCTCCTGGAGCTGGCATTCTAATGAAAGAAACAAACAACCATAAATAATAAAGAAATATATGATTAATGTCAGATGGTAACAGCTACTATAGAGAAGAGCTCAGTGGGAAGAGTGGACAGAGAATGCTATCCAGAGTTGGGGAGGAAGCTGTTTTATATAGGATGGAACAGGAAAGAACTCAGGGAATGGATGAGCCAGATATCTGCAGTCCACACCTGCCACCCAGCACCCTCTCCCAGCATTCCAGGCAAAGGAAACATCCAGTGTAAAGACCTTGAGGCAGAGGGTATCTAAGATCAGTGTGACAGCCACCAGGAGGGGGCTGAAGCAGCATAATGGAAAAGAGAGTAGTAGGGAAAAGGCCATAAAAGGTGATGGGGTCAGAAAATGCAGTGTCTTGTGAGTTACTGGAAGTTTGCTTCTACTTTGTGTAAAATAGAAAGACACTGCATGGTTCTGGGCAGGACATGATCTGCCTTGGGTTTTACTAAGACTCCTCTGGTGGCTGTTTAAGAATAACCTGGATGGGGTGAAAGAAAAAAGCAAGGGTAATCCAGATAAGAGGGAATGGGGGTTAGCCTGGGGCAGTGGCCAGAATGGAAGATAGATCCATTATATTTTTCTGATGGACAGGACATGGGATATGAGAAAAAGTCAAGAGGGATTCTGGCCTGAGCACTAGGAAGATGACTGTGGAGCAGGTCTGGGGGGAATCAGGAGCTCTGCTCACTTGCTCACTCTGGCTGCTGAGTGTGCAACAGAATGGAGTTGCTTGCAGATCCAGTTCCCTGCTGACCCTCTTCCTGAATGTTCCCGAGGCACCACAAACTGAGCTCATCTGGAATGGACCAACCTCCCGTTTATCCCTGACCTCCCATCCAGCAGCCCCCATCCTAGCCAGTATCCTGCAGGCCACCCTCACCATCACCAACTACAGCCATTGGTTCTTGTTCATTTTCTCTGGATATCTTGATTCTTCTCTTATACCTTTCATTGCTGTGCCATCCTCACTTAGACTATTGCAACTGCTTGGGGCCTGCTGCAAAGAGGGGGCTATATGAATGAATGAGGGATTGCTTGAATGAAAGATTGAATGAACTATTGACCTGCCTCCTCATAGGTCTTGGCCAGCTCCTGTCCTCCTGCTCAGCCTCCACATTGTCCTAGAGGAATCTTTTCAAACACACATCTGACTAGTCCTTTTCTTGACTGTAAAACATTCACAGCTCTCCAGGGCCTACCCAGACATAAACTGGTGGCCTACAGACATGTTTTCTTTGGCCCACATAGTGTTTTGGGTTTTTTATTTAAATCTTGAATTAATTAGCATATTTTACATTAAAGTCTAGATTTACCACTTAAGATACTAGAAGAGCTAGGACTATTAGGTTTCATTTCTCCGGGGCAGTGCTTGGCTCATGGAGTCAAGGTTCCATTTACACAAGGCATGCATGCTGCAATTTGGCATAGTCCACATGATTCCTTTTTGCTTTATACTCAACCTGCTTAAATGACCAATCTGGCCCCTATGGCATCAGAGTTTGCAGACTTCCCCTAGAGGCAAATGCATAACTTCTGGGTAGCATATTGCATGGGGTAAGCTGGCAAGGGTGGGGACATAGTAGTGAATGTGAAAGGTCAGCCTGTGGGGAAGTTGTGCTTTGATTGCCCCCCATCCAGAGGGCTACTGGGTGCAATGAAGCATGGGAGTGATGTGGTCGCATTCATGTTTTTAGACCAAGCTCTCTGGACAGAAGGGGACCCGAGAGAGACAGAGAGCCCAGTGAGGAAGCTAGGCTGCTAGGAAGAGGATGAGCAGGAAAAGGCATGTATGGAAGCTGCTTCCCCACCGAATCTCCCCTAAGTCTCAGTCTGCTCTCCTTGTGTTTCAGAACCAGACAGCAGCCTTGGACTCAAGTATGGCCACAAGGACAAATGAACAGTGCTGAAGACCCAGACTGTCTCCAGCTGCTCCAGAAAGACTCTAGCCCCTCAGAACCCTTCTGCAGCCCACAGGATGGAAGCCTGGGTGCTGGGGGCCTGGCCATGAGGGACTACTGCCCCTCCCAACAAAAGGCCAGCCCTGCACCCTTTAAGCACACCCCTGACCAAAGCCCAGGCATGGACTCTAGACGCAGTTACCCTAGCGGGGCTGGGGAAGGGGCCTCCTGCTCTGAGGGGCCTTCCGGGAGCTCAGCTTACCCTCCTTCCATTTGCATCTCTCCCCAGGAGGCAATCACCAAGGAGACACTAGGGGCACATGGAGCTTCAACCTCAGGGATACCAGAAACCACCTTGCCTGGGAAGCTAGACCCTGTGTCCTCAGTGAAAACTGATCCCACATCCTTAGACGGCAGAAATCCTATGTTGTTGGAGAAGATGGATTCCAAGTCCTCAAAGCAGGCCAATCCCACTTCCATAGGCAAGGAAGATGCTGGGTCCTCAATGAAGGCAGATCCCACGTTGATAAGAAAGACAGAGACCATGATTTCTCGAAAAGGGGATGCTATGGCTGCTGGAAGGATAGATCCCATGAGTTCAAGAAAGGGGGATCCTGGATCCTTAGGAAAAGTAGATCTGATGTGCTCCAGCAAGGTGGATGCGGTGTCGCCCTTGAAGGAGGATCCTGGGTCTTTGAGAAAAATAGACCATGTATCTTTAGGCAACATGGATCTTGCATCCCCACAAAAGGAGGAGCCCAAGTATTCTAGAAAAGAACACCCTGTGTCCTCAGAAAAGGTGGGCACTATATCCACTGGAAAGGTGGGTCTTTTGTCCTCGGAAAAGAGACATTCTGGCCCTTCAGGGAAGGTGAATCCTACTTCCTTGGAGAGCATAAATTCTATGTCCACAGAAAAGACAGATTCTGCACTCTTGGAAAAGCTGACTCCAGGGTCATCAGGCAAGACAGAGCCTATGTCCTTTGCAACTGTGACTCCTGGGTCCTTGGGCAAGGTGGGTTCTACACACTTGGAGACCACAGATCCTGCATGTATGGGCAATGCAGAAACTGGGTCCTCTGTAAAAGAGGACCCTCAGTTACAGGGAAAGATGGACTCTTCCTCCTCAGGAGAGGGAGGTCCCATGGCTATAGGAATGATAAAAACAGTGTCTACTGGACGGATGGATCCTGTCTTTTCAGGAAAGATGGGTCCCACATCTGTGAAAAATGTAGATCTTGTGTCTTCAAGCAAGATGGATCCAGTCTCCTTGAGAAAGGTAGATCCCATGTCCTCAGGAAAGCCAGAGCCCTTGTCTCCTGGGCAGACACAACATGTGTCTGTGGGGAAGACAGAAACTGTATGCTCAGGAAAAGTGTCCTCCAGAAGGGCGGATCCCCCAGTCATAGAATGCATAAAAACGTCACCTTCTGGAAAAGTGAACCCTGAGTCTTCAGGAAAGACAGACCCTGTATCCTCAGGTCCAGGGGAGCCCACATCCCTGGGCTCCAGGGGTCCCCCATCTGCAGTAAAAGCTGAGGCAGTGGCTGAGAAGAAAGGAGATCCACAGTCCTTGGAGAAGGCTGGTCCCACAGCCTCAGGCCAAGTAGATCCCTTGAGCAGGGGAAAGGTAGAAACTGTCCCCTTTGGAGACATGGACTCTGTGTCTTTAGGAAAGGTGCCCCCTACAACCCCAGGAAAAACAGTCCTGGAGAAGATGGATCCCATGGGTTCAGAAAAGGTAGAAGCTGTCCCAGAGGGAAAGGTAGATCCCCTCTTTCTAGAGAAGGAGAATCCTGTGAACTCCACAAAAGCGGAAACCAGGGCCTTGGGGAGAGTGGAGCAGAAGGCTGGGGGCAAAACAGAAACAAAGCCCTCTGCGCATGAGGGTGCCTCGGCGTCAGGAAAAGCAAAGGCATTGTCTTTGCAGAAGGAGCAGCCAGGGGCATCTAAAATGGATCCTGCGCCCTCGCCCTCAGAGAAAGCAGAGCTCCTTGGGGCTGAGAAGGTGGAGCCTGTGGCCCAGGGGAAGGCTGGCTCTGCATCTCCGAGAAAAGCAGAGTCCCCGTCCTCGTCCTCAGGAAAGATGGTCCTTCTGTCCCCGGAAAAGTGTATCCCCTCCTCTTCCAGGCAATCAGATGGCAAACCCTGCGGGTCAGCCCCGTTTGCAGGGGCTGGCGGGAGCAGTCGTGTGGAGTCACAGCCGGTCCCCAACACTGAGGCCTGCCAGAAAGACCTGGCGGCTGCTGGGGCCCAGAGAAGCCCTCGAGCAGAGGCCGCAGTGCCCCCACAGGGGCCACGGACTCGTGACAACTTCACCAAGGCCCCATCGTGGGACGCAAGCGCCCCACCGCCTCCGCGCGAGGACGCGGGAACGCAGGCGGGCGCCCAGGCCTGTGTGTCGGTGGCCGTGAGCCCCATGTCTCCGCAGGACGGCGCGGGCGGCCCGGCCTTCAGCTTCCAGGGGGCTCCACGCGCACCCAGCCCCGCGCCCAGGCCGCCCTCTCGCCGGGACGCGGGCCTGCAGGTGTCGCTGGGCGCCACCGAGACGCGCTCCGTGGCCACCGGGCCCATGACGCCACAGGCTGTTGCGCCACCCACCGCGCCCCCTGCTTTCCCCGAAGTTCGGGTGCGCCCGGGGTCGGCGCTGGCCGCAGCCTTGACGCCCCAAGAGGCGGCCGAGCCTGTGCGCGACGTGAGCTGGGACGAGAAGGGCATGACGTGGGAGGTGTACGGCGCCTCCATGGAAGTGGAAGTGTTGGGCATGGCCATCCAGAAGCACTTGGAGCGACAGATCGAGGAGCATGGCCGCCAAGGGGCGCCGGCGCCTCTGCCCGCCGCACGAGCAGGCCCGGGTCGTGCGGGCTCCGTGCGCGCCGCGCCCCCGGACGGCGCTGCCAAACGCCCACCTGGCCTCTTTCGCGCACTCCTGCAGAGTGTGCGCCGGCCGCGGTGCTGCTCTCGGGCAGGACCCACGGCTGAATGAGCTGCCCCCGTTTTGTACACCCGGGTCGCCAACTGTCTCAGGCTCCCTTCTTGACCCCAGGGCCCTAGAAGGGGTCCAGTCCCCTCGGTGTGCGAGGGGCAGGCAGCCTCAAGGGGCTTCTCAACCTCTTCTTTCCCAAACACACAAATGAACCCCCCTACCCAGTCCCTTGGTAGCCATGAGCCCAGAAACCCACCCCTGCGCCCCCTTTACCCCATCAGTCCCCAGGTACTCCCTCTCCTGGTCACACTGGGTGAGGCGGGGACCTGCTCAGCACCCCTACTTCCCACCCCTGAGAGCTGAGGCAGGCTCCAGAGATGGCCAGCCTGGGGCATTGAGATCTCCAGGGGGGCCAATACTGAGCTGGGAAAGACTGCATGCAAATCTCTAAGTGATCCTCCATGTGTGCAAGGACTGGTGAGTGAGGACCCAAGTGTGCTGAGCTCTGAATGTGAAGCTCTGGTGGCCTGTGGGTTTCTGGACACGTGAGTGAATCCCCACACAGTGCTACAGCCCTGTGGCTGGCGTCTCTTGCATGTTGTTGGTGGTCCTTCCCCAACTCCCCTCTCCCACACACCTGGCCCATCCCCCAGCCCGATCTCCTCTCCGATAGCCCCACCACCACCACCGTTTCACATCCCTCATTGGTTCACAATCCCCAGAGGGGCCAAAGGCTTAGAAGCGCCCTGGGACCTCAGCTGAGAGGGACAGCACAGGAGGGTCAGAGGATCTCAGGCAGGACTGGAGGTCACAGTGAGGCTCACAGATGATCTCTAGCCATTGCAGCTTGGGTGATAACGAGTCTTGGCCATTGGGGACAGGCTGGAGCGCTCATTCTACAACCACAGTTGTCCTTTGAAGACCACTCTTCAAGCCCTTGTCCCCCCTGTGCAGTGAGTCCCCACAAGACCCTTGTGACCACTCAGTGCCCTTGTCCCCACCCCTCCAGCCTTGATTTTTTGGCTACAACTGTCACAGTATACATTGGTAATAAAATCTTTCCCCAATCCTTGTGTGCAGTGATTAACTGAAAGCAGAAAGCAAAGCAATAGCACATATTATTATTATCATATCTGGAGAGGAGTGGGTGTAGTTTCCGGGGTGCTGGAAGAGTGGGGGCCTCCATCACACGTCTGTGGTGTCCAGGCCAGCATTGGTGAAGGACAAGCCCTCCTGCTGCTGTCCTCTTGGGGCTGCCTTTCTCAACAGCACAGTCTTCAGGGGCTCAGGCTCTGACTTCGGTTCTGGTGCATTGTGAGGAGGCTCCTTCTGGGGGAGCAGGGGAAGTTGATGATGGAGTGACCTTACCCGACCCTAGAGGTGCAGTTGGGCCTTCAAGCCCAAGACCAGATGGCTCCTCAGCTGGGATGCCCTTCTGCTCCTCTTGGGACCTCAGTCTCCTGGGGCTGTGTCCCAGAGGTGGTCACAGCCAAGGGTGGTGCTGATGGGCTCGGGTGAAGGGGTGGGTATGGGGGGTCATCTCTGGCCTTTGTCTACCCAGCCCACAGACAGAGCAGCATTCTGGTGCCCACCACAGTCCTGAGTAATGTCCAGCCCTGTGTCCTGTGCCAAGGAGCCAGTCCATCAATCTGCCTCCTTGCACCCCCAGCAGGCACCATGTTGGGCAGGGTCCATCCATTGCCTGAAACAGCCACAGCTGTCCCCTGAGAGAGGTCATGTGGGCACTGATGGGCCAGGGTAGGTTTGGGCCACTAGTCTTGCAGACCTAATGCCTGGCCATGGTACAGCACTGCCCCTGGTTGAATCTGGGATCTCTTCTGCCACCCTCAGAAGGACATGTCACATCTAGTTCCCACTGGCAGTTCATCATGGTACACACTTCCATGTTTCTCTTACCCTTCCTCTTCCCCATTTCCATGTGACATGCCACACATGTATCCTGCCAGTCACACACACACCCTCAGGAGTGCCGGGCTCACAGGCTGAGTTACTCCACTGCAGATGCTCACAGGGCCCACTCCCCAAGGTACTCCAAGGGCTTTTTCCAGACTGGGGCTGTTCCAGTCCCTGGTAAACAGTGGAACATCTGAGGGGCCCCAGAGGGGCTAAATATTCTGCCTATGTTCCACAGAGCCTTGCCACTGGTACCAAGCAGGGAGCAGAACCACCCAGAGTAATGTGACCTGGTCCCCAAGACCAGAGATCTGAGTTCAGGTCTGCTCCTGCCTGCAAGCTGACTGAGAAAATCAGCATCCCTCTCTGGGCTCAGTTTTCCTGTTGGTTATTGGGAAAGGTAGGAACTGATGATTTCTCATGTCACTCACACCTTCCCCTACACATTTATGGAGCTCCTGGGCAAGTCACAGCACCCAAGGATTGGCAGGAAAAGACCTCACCAGAGTCCTCACCCAGCCAAGGGAGAAGAGAGGCAGGTGGCTCCTGAGAGGACCCCAGGGCCTCTTAGGCCTGCCAAAGACCTCCAAGACCTACCCACTGCAGCAGGAGAGGGGATGAAGGCAGCTTCCTAGAAATTTTTCCCTCCCTGGACAAAGTCTTAGGTCCTCTGGCTTTGAAGTCTCTCTGTGTCACGGCCAGCTCCCCTCTCTACTCTTCTCTCATGGCTCCCACTCCTGCCCAGACCACAGGCCCAGCCCTAGCTTGGGGGGCCCTCGCTCCCACAGCACGATTGGCCTTCCTACTTTCAGTCTCTCAGACATTCGCTGGTCTATTCAGGGATGAGCCATGCCTGGAGATTGCCCGGGTTGCCTCTCACAACACCCATCCTTAGGGGGCCATTTGCCAGATTCTCTGCACTGTGAGACGCTGGAGCCCTGTGCAGCCTTCTAGTATTTTAAAGCCCAAGAGAGGCTTTGGTTGACCAAATCTTTCCAAGCAAGGAGTCCTCAGAGGAAAATAAGGACTGAAACATGAGGGCAGCTGGAGCTGCGGGGCAGGGGGTGGGGGGCAGGCACCAGACAAGCCTGGGACCCAGAGTAGGCTGGATTAGGGTCAGTGGTGGCTGGATGCCTCCACTGGCGGTGACAGAAGCTCACCTATGCGGCTCGAGGGGCCTTAGAGAGCGCCTCCTCTGGGGCAGGAGAGGTGGCCATTCCTTCTGCTTCTGGAGCCCCTCCCAGCCCGCTGACCAAGCTGCAGGGCTTCTCAACCCTGCTTGGACCTTGGAATCTCCTGAGGAGCTTTGACAGGGTATCTGTGCTGTGGCTCCTCCCTGGGCTACAGAATCAGATCTATGGGTGTGACCAGAGCACTGGTATTTTTAAAGAGTTCCCCAGGTGATTCTAAACAGCAGCCCAGGCTGTGAACCCTTTAACTCACCTAACGAACTAACCTAGTTAACAAATGATGGTACTGTTTGTCTCCTTTGCTATGCATTCATCTCTGGATCTCTTCCTCCACCCCACCAGCTCTTACATAAAGGCTAGAAAGGAGCAGAGCCAGATTTCTGAGCTGTTGCTTTGTGCCAAATGCTTTTATGTCTGCTCTTTAATCTGCACTACTGCCCTGCAAGGTTGATGTTCTGATCCCCATTTACAGATGAGAAAACTGAGAACCGGAGGCAGGAAGTCATCTACCATGGGTCACGTGAGGAATGAGGGGAGAAGCAGGGATGGGACCTTACTCCAAAGGTGTGGGGCTTTCTGAGGCCTGGTGCACTGAGCCAAGGCTGCCCGTGTCAGCAGCAGGCCCTCCTTGCTCTGTCCTTCATCCCTTGCCTTCGGAGAAGGCTCCCAAGTCAGAAGCGCATCCCCCGCCTTACCTTGGTCTGCTGACTGTTCATGCCCAGGTCCACAGAGTTCTCATCTAGGGAGTTGAGGCTGGGGGAGAAGTGGTCGAGCGTGGGTTGTTGGGAGGCCCAGTCCTCCCTAACCGTGGGCCCTGCCACCTCCACCCCTACTGCTGCCACCAACACTGTTACCACAACCATTCTCACTGCTACCTCTAGCACCACCATTACTACCATCATTACCATCACCACCACCAAACGGAGGGGCAGGTGCCTCACCTGACATTGTCTGAGTCACTGAAGGAGGAGAGGTACTCCAAGCCCAGGTCCTTGGTGGGGAGGTTCAGCATAGGGTTGGCCCTGGAGAGGAAACCTGGTCAAGCAGCTGTGGCCCTCAGTCCCCTCCCCTGGTCTCTTGGCCACCTTTGACCCCTGCTCACCGCTCAGTGTTGTACATGTTAGTCCCAGGGATGGCAGGGGCTGAAGGCATCACCCCAGCTGTGGTCTTCTGAGCCTCCTTGCTAGCCTTCATAGCCCGGAGCTTCCGGTGGTAGCTGCAGAGAATCAGGAAGGGAGTCACACTTTCACTGCTGGCCTAGTGGAAGCCTTGACAGTGTGGCTTCACAACCATCCTGGCAGGTGAGAGCAGAGACTCCATTTTACAGAAAGAACAGCCAGGGAAGGGAAGTGATTTGCCAAAGGCCACACAGGCAGCCAGTGGCAAAGCCTGGACTCAAACCCAAATGTGACTACTGACTCTGGGCATCCTGGTAAGGGAACGAAGCAGTATCTACAAAGTATAGATGCTGTGCCAGGCATCGTGCTGGTGTGAGATGCACATGACAACCGTGACTACATCAAGGAATCTAGTGTTGTGTCCATTCTTCGGATGAGGAAACGGAGGCTCAGGGAGGGGAAGAGACTCACTCAAGATCTCACAACAGGTCACTGGTAATGGGACACACATATACCTGGGGCCTAGACCCAAACTTTTTCTACCCCTACCCATCCATGTCTCGGGCAGTGGAAGGGGGAGGGTCGATGGGATGATGGAGCCCAGGGGGCAATGGGATCAGCACCTCTTCTGCACACACACAAAGGCCATGATCACAATCACAAGGACCAGCAGCAAAGCCACTGCCAATCCTATGATGATTCCGGTGAGCATCTTTGCCTGGTCTGACTCCTGGCTCTTCTGGGAGCCCTGGGGAAGAAGAGGTGTGAGGGCAGCTGAGGGGGCCATACCCTTCCCCTCCCCACAACTGCTGCTTCCACTCACCAGCACCACCAGCCCCAGCTGCAGCAGCTGTGTGAGCGCTTCCTGTTCGCTCTGGATCATCCTGGCCACAGAACCCAGCTCAGCCCCGAGAGTCAAGGGTCGAGGATCACCGGCACCCTGGGCTTCAGGCCCACCCTCCACCCATCCCCAAGGACAGCCCCACTCACATACTCAGCTGGCTAAGTGTCAGGGCCGTCCCATTGGAGAAGACAAAGTAGGCATCAAGGTAGGAGTGGGCTTGGGCTCTGGGAGAGGTGAGGTGGGGAAAGAGTCAGCAGATCAGAGCCCGGTCAGCCTCACTGCCTGTCTCTCTCCTGCCCAACCACAGGGGGCACTTACCTGGCCAAGGAGTCTGTGTCCTGAATGTTCACAATGTAGACGGAAGTCTTGGTTGCCTGGGCAAGGGCCCTACAAAGGGGCAGGTGTCACAGATGCCTAGGATAAGGCCTTCGCCCAGACCTGTGCCCTGGGCTCTGCCAGTGGAATTAGGAGTTGTGTGAAGGAAAAAGGAACACAGTAGCTCTGCTGGCTAAGCAGGCAGCACCACTGTGCAAACTGGAAAAGGAAACCCCTTCCTTTGGGGCTGGGTTTGCAGCTTAGCAAGCAGTATGCTTGTGCAGTACACAGCCTTCAAAACTGTACATGACAACTGTGTTTAAAGCTCTACTGTCTTTGGCTGGGTATGGAATGCTAGGGGCATGCAGAATGGTAATGTGGGCACAGGGTCAAAGAGAAGTATAAGGTCAGGCCGGGGATTTAGCTCAGTGGTTCCATCGCCTGCCTGGCAAGCGCAAGGACCCAAGTTCGATCCCCAGTACCAAAAAAAAAAAAGCAGTATGAGGTCAAGTGTGGGTCAGGGGTGAGACATATTCCATCCCATTCTTGTCAGGGCCCAGCCTCCTGGTTTTCCCCCAACCCTTTCTTCCCTCTCCAGACCTACGCCTTAATCTCATTCACGTTGGAGCCCACTTCCTCCTTGGATGTGGAGAACTGCAGCCTCACGAGGTAACTCTGGTCCACAG